GGGGGGGGGGGAAGCTGGGTCCAAGACTGTCTTGGTTACACAGAGAAACTCTATTGAAAAAAAAACTATTATTAGCTATTTCACACTCACACAGATACACACACAAAAACACACAGAGTCTGTGTGTGTTTGTGCATGCAAGTCAAATACTGCCCACTCTCTCTCCTACCTCTCCACTATCGTGGTCCACAATTCCAACAAATTTCTCTATTATGTTCTTCTCTATTTATTTTGCTTGGGACTCACTGAGACTGACCAGTGCCATGTGTGAAACAGTGGGTTTGGAGCTATGTGTTGGTGCCTGGTGGGCTCAGCAGAGGACTGCAGCTAAAGGCAGTGATTCTTCTTCTACAATCCATCCATTACCAACATTTGAGAGGTAAAGGGTGTGTCCCGTGAGCCTTTCCCTTTCCTAGACTGGTTGTGGTCTAGTGTGAGGTCCATGCAGGTCTGTACAGCTGCTGTTGGTTACCGATTACCACAGCTGTGTGGAGTCTAGAGAATGGCATGTCTTAGCCCTTCCTTCTCTTCCCCTTCTTATTCCCTCTCCTCTCATGTTCCCAGACACATAGATGGGAGGTAACTGAGCTTTTTCGACCTGCGACCACATACCTCCCTTATTTTCTGCATGTGGGACAGCAAGAGTCTCTGCATTCACCATTGCATTAAAAAATAATTTCTATATTTTATCTAAAAACCACCTTTAGCGTCTGAGTCACAGAAGACTAACTTGTTTCTGAGTTAGGAAAAAGACTAGACCACCATCTAGTGGTGAGAGCGGTACAGAGCAAAACGAATTCTGCCCTGGGTTTGTTAGCAACAGAGTGCCCACTGACTTCTGGAGAATCCTTTGTCTTTTCAAACCCAAGTTCCCGAAATGTCTCTCCCGAAGTCACAACTGCAGTATTTGGTTTTGATTTGTTATATTTGTGTCAGCGATGGGACGCTGGCACCTGAATTTACCCTGTTATCCTTTGATGTAAGTATGTAGACCAGGTAGTCAAGTCGAGGTTAGGCTGCCTCTCTTTTATCCGAAGGGTTCAGAACTCACTGTGGGGATCAGCGTCCTCCTAGATCCAGTTCTGGTCCAGGCTGGCAGCGGGCATGTGGGGAGGCTGTGCAGAGCGGGTGCAGGGCAGCCTGACAGCTGGAGCTGTGTGGAAGGCAGCCTGAGACCAAGTGGGAGGGAAGGTTCAGTGGGGCGGGGATATTCACCCGGAAAGAGCAATTGGGAGGGTGTTGGATATTAGGTGGGTGGAAGTGGGAGGATTTAGAGGAGTGACGAAAACGGAAGCTGTGTTACCTAGTGAAAGAGGACTAGGAAGTGGACAGAAGAGCCAAAGCCAGAAGTGGCAATTGCCGGCTCCCTGTCGTTGCTCCGGGTCCTGCACGGTCGGGGATTGCATGGTGCAGACCTGGGTGCGGAGGACACGGCGGAGTCTCGCGGGGACACGAAATCTCCCCGGAGCCGCAGTCGCAACGCAGTGGCGGGAACCGCAGCCCGGCGGCCCTGGAACCTCCCAGGTCAGAGGAGCTGCGGGGCTGGGACACGGGAGGGGAGGGACCGGGGTGCGAGCAGTTTCTCTGATGTTCTTAAGGAAGCTGGCTGTGAAGTTCTGCTGTGGGTGTCTTCCCTTGGCGATAAATTTCAGATAATGTTAACTGGAACAATCCTGATGGTTTTTTCATTGATCTTCTGATTGCCAAAATATTCTCAGAAAAACAACCCACTAGAATATCTGAATTTATGTGTTGATATTTGTAAACACGGTTCTCTTTTATTATGGTGGAAAAGACAAATTTACATTCATCCACTCCAACTATCGTGTTAAACCACTTCGCTGTTCAAGAGAATGGCACATAGAACTAGGGATTTGGCATTCTAAGAGAGCTTTTATATATTTGTCATGAAATGAACGCCTGCAAATTAAATTGAATTCAAAATTATATTTTTGCGAGTTCCATAGATATGGTTGTAAACATTAACATTTAAAAGTAAACTTTTTGTCTGCCATTAAATTTTCATCTGACACGTATACACTTTGTGATGTAAATAGAGCATTTTGAAAAGTGTCTTTGACAGGTTTGGTGGCGCACACCTTTAATCCCACCACAGGGGAGGCAGAGGCAGGTGGACCTCAGTGTGTTAGAGGTCAGCCTGGTCTACCTAACAAGTTCCAGGAGAGCCAGAGCTTCATGGTGAGACCCTGTCTCAAAAAAAGAAAGAAAAGAAAAGAAAACAGCAATGTGTATGTATTTTTGTGCTGATTTGTTAATGTGCAACTTAGAGCCTGGGAAAGCACAGTATACTTTCTTGCCTATTAGGTCACAGTATTTTCACAGTTAGAAAAGTCGTTATAAGCCACATGGTGGTGATGGCACACTCCTTTAATCCCAGCATTTGGGAGGCAGAGGCAGGTGGATCTGGGAGTTCCTTGCCAGCCTGGCCTACGGAGCAAGTTTAAGGAGAGCTGGATCTACACAGTGAAACTCTGTCTCAGGGAGAAAAAAAAAAAGTAAAAAGAAATGGAAAGGTATTATAGTATAGGATAATGTTAGAAAGCAGCTTTTGAATAATTACAATAACTTATCTACATAAGAAAAAATGTCTAGAGGAATCTTTTCTCTCCTTGGTTAAAGAAAAGCACTCTGTCCACGGACACATGACCAAACTGTTATTTTTGGTTCTTGTGTTTGCTGTGTTTGAGTCCTGAATTCATTGTGTTGCTCTCTCTGGATCAAAACTCTCTTTGTAGTCCAGGCTGGACTCAAACTTACCCCGTTCCACGCACATCTGTCTCCCCAGTGTTCAAACTGTACTGTTTCATTTTGTGGTCTGTTGACAGGCAGTGGTGTGACTGTGGACTTCTCCCAGGAGGAGGGGCAATGCCTCGACCCTGCCCTGAGGGCTTTGTACAGAGACTGGATGTTACAGAATTAGAGCAGTCTGGTTTCTGTGGGTGAGAACAGTTTGCCTGCAGTCTCCCTTGCTCCTCCTCAGGGTTTCTTGGCAAATTGCTCTGCAAGTGTCTGTCCGTTTGAGAGGTGCAAGGCTTCTATCATATTGGGTCTGTTATAAATTCAGAGTGTCAGTAGTGTATGATATTCTCATCCCAATCATTCAGTTCCATTTCTGTCCCTGAGATTTGACTGAGCTGTGGTTGGAAGTGGCATTCAAGTTACTCTACTAACTGAAAATGCTTTCTAAATATTATCAGTATTCTGACCCTGCATGACAATTGAGGAATTACTTGTATAATCCTGTATTTTTTTTTCTCTTTACTCAGCACAGTCCTGTTAGAAATCCAGGTGCTTCCTGAACAATCTCTTTCTCTTGTGCAGGGCTCACTGATCACCCAGACCTGCTCACCTGTGCTGCAGAACAAAGTGGCCTGGGAGGAGAGAGGAGACAGGAGCTAAGGATCCAGGTATGGTGGAGACATTGGTGAAGGAGTGGAAAGGGGATCAAGTGAATGTGGAAGTGGGACATGAAATCAGTTTTGCCACATTCTGTTTCACTAGAAATAATTCTGGAGATTTCCACTGAGAACGATCTCAGAAAGATATCCTGCAGTAGGTGTAAAAACAGGTTCTACAGAAGCACGGATACGAGAGGGCAAGTACAATTGTAACTGAGTATGTTTGTGAGTGATGCTGCCCTTATTCACACCACTGACATGTCTTCATAACAGTATTCATTGATTTTCATTTTTATGATTTTAGTGTATTATAAAATAATCAAAATTAATATCTCTAGGTTTATTTATTGTTTTCATAATCCTGTAGCTTTTGAAATTCTAGCACATTCTGTACCTTTTACTGTTAATGTCTCCATTTCTGAAAATAATGCCAATATAGGTTTTTTTTTGTTTGTTTGTTTGGTTTTTTTTTTTGGTTTTCTCGAGACAGGGTTTCTCTGTGTAGCTTTGCGCCTTTCCTGGAGCTCACTTGGTAGCCCAGGCTGGCCTTGAACTCACAGAGATCTGCCTGGCTCTGCCTCCCGAGTGCTGGGATTAAAGGCGTGCGCCACCACGCCCGGCTGCCAATATAGTTTTATAAGAAATCAGGAACTAGATTCACACAGTTAAACTCCTTTGATGTCTTCCCACGGATATCTCCTGTTGTCTGTTGTCATGACAATTCCAAGCGATTTCCATTGCTGTAATTGGAACACACTGTGAGACCACCTCTGGGTTTGATCTTCTTCGTATTTTCCATCTCTTTGCTGTTCCTTGGTACTTTCAGGACTACTTTCTGTAAAACATGCAAATAGGATTGTGGTAAGAATTGCTTGGAGTCTTAGAGAAGACCAACCTCCTTCGGGGTTGTCTTGTGTTTGACAAGAACATGAAGCAATGTGCCACATTTCACATGTTTTGTATATTCTTCTGTTTTCTGTCCGCTATGGATGTCTGTGTTCTGAGTTTTGTGACATGCACCCGTGTTGATCAAGGAATTTTCTAATAGACCATTTTATCTGTTGTTATTACTCTTTATTTTGTACTTGGATTTTTTTTCAATTTTTCTGTCACTATTCTAATTATGATCATCAGTCCTCTTTACTGCACTCCATAGTCACAGCATTTAAAAAAAAAATTCCTTCTTTCTCAGTGTTTTGTATTTTTAGATGTGCAGTAATTTTTTCATAGAAAACATATATTTTAATATCAGCTGTCAGTTTTCTTGAATTCTATGGTTTGTTTATATCTTTTACTTGTGGAATGCTGTCTATTTACATTTCAAGAAATTACTGGAAAAAATGCATTAGTTATTGTTTAGGGACTTGAGTGTGAACACTGACTAGGCAAAGTTAGAATCTCTGTATATTAAATTGATATAATCTTATGATCTACACTGTAGAGTGTAGCAAGAATCCTAATTGGTCCTAATAAAAACAGAGTCAGATATCAGGGTGAAAGCTGAAAGATCAGAGAAGCAGAACAGCCAGCCACTAGAAAGACTTCTTACCTCTGCTCAATCCTGAGCCTAAAAGATAGTAGGAGCTCCTTTCTCCTCCTGCCTTATATTCCTTTTCTCTGCCCAGCCATACAGCTTTCTGTCTCAACCTTGCTAGTGCTGGGATTAAAGGCTTGTGTGCCTCCCAAGTACTGGGAGCAAAGGCATGAGATCCCAAGTGCTGGGATTAAAGGTGTGTGCCACCACTGCCTGGCCTCCATGGCTAACTAGTGGCTTAGCTCTGCACTCTGATCTTCAGGCAAGCTTTATTTGTTAGATCACAAATAAAATATCACCACAGTAGAGCTTTTAAATATGTACATATTGGCCCTTAAAACTGCTGTTGCACACAGTCTGTTCGATCCATTTGCCTATTTATCGATTATATTATCATTTGCTTCCTTTGTATTTTTGATAGGTTCTGTATTATCCATTGTAGTATAAATAGATAGCTATTAAGTGTATCTGCTGTATAGACTGTCTCTTCATACTTTTTTTTTTTTTTTTTTTTGGTTTTTCGAGACAGGGTTTCTCTGTGTAGCTTTGCGCCTTTCCTGGGACTCACTTGGTAGCCCAGGCTGGCCTCGAACTCACAGAGATCCGCCTGGCTCTGCCTCCCGAGTGCTGGGATTAAAGGCGTGCGCCACCACCGCCCGGCTATACTTTTAATCATTACAATTTACCTGGATGTTTCTTATTTTACCCAGTACTATTTGTCTGGTTCTGCTCTTGTTTTAAGTGTTCCCCTTTGTGTTACTCTTCAGGATTCACTGTTTTAGATCATACATGAAGGTTGATGATTCATTATATGGTAGGAGAGATTTGAACCCAGGCTCATGTTTTTATATTGGGATAGATACTTTTCCCAGTGCCACTATTTGAAGAGGATATCTAGTCTGCAACATATGTTTGTGGTATTTTGGTGACGTTCACCTGGATACTGCTACTGGGCATTCTGGATCTGTTGCTGTATTGCGTTGCTCTGATCTGGAATCACACTGGGATAGCTTGAGCATTGTAACATTTTCCTAGGGCTGCTCTGTACCCAGGGAATTTATGTCAACATAAATTCTAGGTTTCTCTGTACTATTTCTGTGAAGGTTATTGTGGGAAGTTGAAATGTCATGAGGTTTGAACTGGTGATATAAACCATCTACCTCTAGGAGGCAACCACGGATAATAGCAATAGCCTACAATGTTTTGAGAGTCTCTTGGATAGCTGTGACAAACAACTTCAAAACAGGCTTCTTACACTGGTGTTGGTCATTTTGTTAGAAAATCCGTGGCTCTGGTGGGGAGCATTATCAGGCCAGATGGGGAATTTTCATTTACACTCTAAATATATATGCATAGTCAGACTTACATGTATTGTAGGCATTTTTCCTAGATGGATAATATTTAATGAATAGAAGTATTCCTTATGACTGTTTAGAAATCCTTACCCTCCTTCTTCTGTGTTTATATCTGTCCCTTCTCCATAACTAAATCCCTCCCTGTATTTCCATTTCTCTCTTCAGATCACTTGTTCTCTGTTATTTCTGTCTCTGCTACTACCTCACAACCTACAGTGGTCTGTTTTTTCTTTTTTTGTTACTGCAGTTTCTCCAGGTTGTGTACTCACATCTGAAGATTTGGAGCTAGGAACTTCCTATGAGAGAGAACATGAATGCATTGTCTATCTTTCTGGGTCCAGGTTACCTCACTCATATAATCTTTTCTAGGCCCATCCATTTAGCTGCAAAACTCATGATTTCAATGTTCTTTGCAGGTGAATAATATTTCATAGTGTATATGAACCCCATTTTCATTATCCGTCTGTCAATTAGGGACATATAGGTTGTTTCCCTTTTGTAGCTATTGTGAGTAGAGCAGCAGTGAACATGGCTGAGCAAGTATCTGTGAAGTGGGATATTGAATTCATTCAGCAAGTGCCAAGGAGTGGAGCAGTGGGTCATGTGCTATATTAACTTGAGGATTTATTTACTTGAGGATTTTCTATATTGATTTTGAGAGTAGCTAGATATTTTTTGATGGAGTTCTTACTCTCTGTGCTTTTGCTTTTGATGTTACTGCTGGTTGGATTATTGGGAACATTCCTCTTCCTTCTCTGTGAGAATTATTGCTTTGCTGTCTTGCCTATGGATGATTACTTCCCAGTATTCCTATATTTATCTATTCCTTACATGAAATTTATTATTTCCCATATTCTCATGGATACTCCCTCTGATTTTCCTGTATTTGCCTTTGATATATTGTCTGCTGTCCTGCTTTGTTGAAATGAATTGTCTTGCTTCATAAATATCTTGCACTACACTTACGTCTTTATCAGTTCTAATATAGATGTAACAATATAGTTGATAGTGACTTTTTTTTCTCCAAGCTTCAAATGTTGTTCCGTACTCTTCTGGCTTTGGGATCATTGACCAGACACCTGGTATATTCTGTTGCTTGGGTCTTTTCATATGGTTTGATATTGTTCTGTAAGCTTTCAGTATTAACTTTTGCTTTTTCTTTTTGACCCTTTATATGAAAGGGCAGCAAGTCATCTATTCATTGTTCCTGAAAGAAAAACTCAAAGAAGAGAAACAGAAAGAAATGGCTGATTCTCCAGTAAGCATGTCCCAGGTCAGTGGTCATGTCCACTCTTTGTAGAAATGTTATATATTCAGATATTGCAAGCCTTTAATTTTCTGCTTCTCATAATTTTTTTTAATTTTACTATGAAAAGAGTTTAAACAACAACATCACACACTGAAATTAACCAGACCTAAAGACTATACAACTCAAGGTACTTTTTTAAAAATAATTTATTTAACTTTATGTGCATTGGTGTGAAGGTGTTATATCTCTTGAAATGGGAGTTACAGTTGTGAGTTGCCATGTGGGAGCTGGGAATTGAACCTGGGTCCTCTGGATGAGCAGCCAGTGCTCCTAACCCCTGAATCATCTCTCCAGCCCTCTCAATGTACAGTAAGAATAGTCATTGGGAACAGAAGTTCTGGAGCCTCACATGGGATTTTATATTTATATTTTGCTGCAGGCCACAGAAATATATCATAAGAACTCAGCTGGTTATGGCAAAGTCACTACCTGGAGGGATCAGGGAATTCCTCTAGAGGAAGCCAAATCCCAAGGAATTTTTGGTGTTACTTGGCTTGTTATATATCAGCTGTCTTCTGTTATGAAAATCATGTGTGCCTTCATAGTTTTTCCAATTGACTTTTCCCTTAGAAGGGCTAACAGTGTGGACCGATCACTCTCTGGATGGACATACACATTCCAGGTATTTGGAGAACAGCCTCAGGAAAGGCTTTCTCTGGAATCAGATATCTCCCTTGGCCACTTTCAAGGACTAGCAGTAATATAACAGTCCACAGACAAGTCTCCTGATTTAAGATAAATTCCACAAGGAGACACTGCCTAGGTCAGGTGGACCTTAAGTGATAGCTTTACACAATTTAGCTCGGACCCTCCTTTCTTACAGCCTTACTAACTTTATAGACCTCTAACTCCTTACCTAACCACTTCTAGGAATATTTAGATAACCTTCTGCACTGACAGCTATGCTCAGCCAGAACCCCAGTTCAAGCCTCCCTGTAATTATCATCATTGGCAGCATCTTGTCAGGTCCATCCCCAGATGGAGGAAAGTACCTTATCAGAGATACCTCCATACTTTCTAAGAACAGAGTTAAGCATCCAGGCTACCCATTTGAGAAGGCCTGGTGGATGTGCCAATTAAGCTTTACTTCTTCCTTTCCCAAACCTTAACTCTAGTTCCAGATCTCCCTTTAACTATCACCAAAGGCATCTAGCTGTACACAGGTTGCCTAGCGACTGAGCACACTTTCCCCCACCCTGCAGAAAAAAACGGCAGATAGCTTGGACAGATAGGAGCCACAGGAAAAAAGAAGACAGGTTTATTTTCTCCCATTGACCTAGCAACTTATAGATTCTTAACATTTTCTACTAATCACATTTAAGAGTTTAATAGTTGAGCACATAAGATCCGTCTTCTTAGATATTACCCGAATTTAGCCTTTAGTTAATTCATTTCCCCATTGGTCACTTCCCTTTGGGGTTGCAAATGATAATTAACGATTATTGCCTCTCAATGTGATTCTTATCATCCCTCTGTTTGACCCTGGAAACCTGGCTTTATATACCAGGACTTCCAGGGCATGGAGAGTCAGAGAAGAGAAAAGAGTATGGAAGAACTAGACGAGTAAGAACTTGCAAGGAACAAACTGAAATGGGGAAGAACTAGATTGAAGGGCTAGAAGAGAGGACTAGAGGAACGAGATGGAAGATGAGGAAGAGCCAGATGGGGAAGTCCTAGCTAGGTAAGAACAAGCTGAAAAGGACCTAAATGTGGCAGAATTAAGACAAGAGAATTAAGATAGAACTTAGAAGGAGCAGTAGATAAGTGTAGAGAGAAATCAGGCAAGACAGGAACTAGGCACGAGAACAGAACTGAAGCTGTGAATATAGGATGTTATGCCAGAGGAATTAAAGCAAGTGGACTACAGAGCTCTGTGTGCTGAGATTCTATTTCCTGAAAATAGTCCTCGCCGTTAGTAGTTCTCTCTCCTGAGCCCCTGGGATGTATAATAGTAAGATATTTTAGCTATTAAATATATTTTTATGAACTTATCTGCTACAAAAAAAGAAAAAAAACTATGACAAAATTAGAACTAGAAAAACACTTAGCTTTATATCCTTTTCATAACTGGTGTCCATTACCTGACAGTATGAAATGCTGTTATACTCATTGTTATTGTTACAGCCAAAATTCTTTGCCTATAAAGCCAGTCATGAATTCTACCTTTCACATCTACTCCCTTCTCTTTATGGAATGGCATTGGACCTAGAGTTTAAACATCCCAACTGAGCCTGTTAGACTAGAGTCACGTAAGGCCCAAGTACATACAGGATTGATTTGTGTCAGTGTTTTAGCATGATCTACAGCTACAGCGTTTAAAGCCCATTTTGTCATCATGAATATTCCTTCTGAGACATGTCTGCTGTGATCCTCTGTAACATAAACACTGCATCCATAACAGATAGATAATTGTGTCCAGACCTTAAATGTCTGTTGTTTTGTGTATATGCTTGTAAGACTATTGTGTCAGTCTGCTTTCACAGAGGTGAAAAATCCATTATACAATATGACTATATTAGAAATCTTTTTTTTAAATATCTTCACTCATCTACATCCCTCCAGGAAAGCACTGTGTCCTGTAAAACATAATCAAACTGTACTTTTTTGTTTTAGGGTCTGTTGACATTCAGGGATGTGACTGTGGACTTCCCCCAGGAAGAGTGGGAATGCCTGGACTCTGCTCAGAGGGCTTTGTACATTGATGTGATGTTGGAGAATTACAGCAACCTGGTCTCTGTAGGTGAGAACATTTTGCTTCTAAAATTCCAAACTAATCCTTTGTATGTACTGGCATTATAGATTGTAAACTCTGTTAAGCTGTCTTAGAAACAGCAGGAGACTCGGGAAAGTTTGTTAGTAGAAAAGAACTTTTTCATGGAATTTAATTTTTTGTTAACATTTTCTATGTTAGAGGTATCATGCACCCCTCATTTTGGCTCCACAATGCACTCATAAACTTAGTATCCTATAATATTTACACCCATATATTAGAGCTCCATGACCACTGTTATACCTGACATGGTTTTAATTGTGAAAAATACTCAAAATGTGCAAACTGAAAATTCTCCATATGCATATATATATACTGAAGATTCGACAAGAAATAGCAATTGGGAAATCATTCCTCTACTTTGTGTTCTCTTCATGTACTGAGCCCAGTACTGTGTTAGATGTCTGTCTTCTTTCTAAAAATTCTAGCATGGGTCATGGACTACCTCAGAAAACACATGGATTATTGTGTGCAAGGTAGGCCTGGTCACCTGTCCGGAGCAAATGAGATTGCCCTGGAATGTGGAGAGGAGAGGGTAGCCACAGCCAAGGTGGGCTAGGGAATGAGCAGGACAACAGTGACAGCCTCAAGTGAAAGAGAAAGCAAGAGCTGAGGGTGTTCTTGTGATATTCAGTTCCACTTGAAAGGATTCTTCTTTTTTAAAAAAGATTTTATTATTTATTTATTAGATAAATGCTCTATCTGCATGTACAACTTTATGCCAGAAGAGGCATCAGATTCCACTAGAGATATTTGTGAGCCACCATGTGGTTGAACTCAGGACCTCTGGAAGAGCAGGTGGTGCTCTTAACCACTGAGCCATCCCTCCAGCTTGAAAGGATTCTTGATCATTTAACTTAGTGTAGTGTCCTGGCCCCAGGAAGCATCCTGTCTGTTGTAAATGTTAGAACACGTTGTGTCTTATGCATCTGAATTATGATGACAATACTAGTACAAAATGCAAATTTATTTGACTGTGCTGACATCAGATTGGAATCTTTTTACAAATGTTAAGTCCAACATGAGTCCATGAAGTATGATTATTTTTTAAACTGACTTACCCACACAACACAATACTTTCTTTTTACTTTTATTGTTACTGCAGTTACTCCAGGTTGTGTACTCATATCTGAAGATTTGGAGCTAGGAACTTCCTATGAGAAACAACGTGCAATGTCTGTCTTTCTGGGTCTGGGTTACCTCACTCATATGATCATTTCTAGGTCCATCCTGCAAAACTCATGATTTCTCACCCATGCCTTCCTTGTATACATATCTTCATATTACATCCTTAATGGAAAACACACAGACACCCTTCTGGGAAATAATCTCAGGAGTCCGTGTACAGAGTGGACTTGAGAATAACCCTGTGAGGAAAGTTAAGAAACACAGCAGTGTGTGGAGCACAGACAGTGGAGGATAGAAATAAGCAATAGCTGCCCATGACAGCCCTGCCTCAAATGATCTAGAGCCTCTGATATCTGGCAGACTACTTGGTTTGCATCCATTACTTTTGAAGATCTAATGGGTTTTTTTGCAGAAAAATAAACCGTGATATGTTTTTAAGTAAGACTTTAATCTTTAAAGGAATTGGGTCTTCTGTATAGTACTCCTCTGCCTCTCACTTAGCATGTACAAACATTGTGAACCTGGGATTGGATTAAACTCCTCTTCATCAATTTCTGAGAAGAAATATTTAAACATAGAGACATGTATTCTAAATATAATCCGTCAATGAGCTCCATCCCAAAGCTAATTGCTAATTCTTCAATTTCCTGATCCATCTTGTGCCATTAGACATTTTCAATAAGGATGAGATATCTGTCATATCACAGACCCTTGAAGGCTGTTGTGCTGTTTTTGTGAGAATATATTGAAATACAGTGAAAGAAAAATGTCTAGGTAGTTGCCGGTTGACTTATCTTAAGAGAGAACTTAGAGAGACAATCATTTATCATAAGTTTTTATTGCAACAAGTCCTACTAATCTGAACTGTACTCATTTTCAGAGAACTATTGCAAATGTGACCCTATCCATCCACATGTGAAGGCTGAAAAGGAGTCTTGTCAGTGTTATGAGCTTGGCAAAATGGTTCATCAGTCCTCCAAATGTGCACTTTATGGAACAAGTGAAACTACAGAAAACTCTAATAACTACACATGCAGTAACCACAGGGATGCCTGTGTTGACTCATCAAACCGAGACAGACATGAAAGCATGCACACTGGAGATGACCCTTGCAAATCTAAAGACTGTGAGAAATCTTTAAGTTTGTGTTCCAACCTTACTCAAGATCAGAGACTCTACACTGCAAAGAAGGAGCACAGGCAGGGAGAATATGATGACTGTTTTGCCTCTGCATATAGTCTTTTGCAACAACCAATCTACATTGGAGAGAAACCATACCAGTGTGGTAAATGCAGGAAATGTTTCAGTACCACATCACGCCTCATTGTACATCAGAGAATTCATACTGGAAAGAAACCCTACAAGTGCAACCTATGTGGCAAATCCTATAACCAGTGTGCAAATCTTAGAATACATCAAAGACTTCATACTGGGGAGAAACCTTACAAATGCAAAGATTGTGGGAAGTCATTTCGACAGTCCTCAGCTCTTAAAAGCCATCAGAAAATACATACTGGAGAGAAGCCTTACAAATGTAAGGAATGTAACAAATCCTTTGCCCACTGTTCCAGTTTCAGGACACATCAGAAAATCCATACTGCTGAGGAACATTGTAGTTGCCAAGAATGTGGCAAGGTCTTTCATCAGCTTTCACACTTTAGAAGACATTATAGACTCCATAGTGGAGAGAAGCCTTACAAATGCAATGAGTGTGACAGATCCTTTACGCACTACTCATCACTTAGATGGCATCAGAAAACTCATTCTCTAGAAACTTTTTACAAATGCAAAGAATGTGGTAAGCCCTTCCTTGAATTATCACATCTTAAAAGGCATTACAGAATTCATACTGGTGAGAAGCCTTACAAATGTGAGGTATGTGACAAATCCTTTACTGTGAACTCAACTCTTAAAACACATCAGAAAATTCACACTGGGGAGAAACCTTACAAATGTGTGCAATGTGACAAATCCTTCACCAAGTGCTCACATCTTAGAAGACATCAGAGTGTTCATACTGGAGAGAAACCTTACAAATGTAAGGAATGTGACAAATCTTTTCCTGAGTGCTCAACTCTTAGAGAACATCAGAAAATTCATACTGGAGAGAAACCTTATAAATGTGGAGAATGTGACAAATCCTTCATCCAGCAATCAAATCTTAGAACACATCATAGAATTCATACTGGAGAGAGACCTTATATATGTAAGGAATGTGGCAAATCTTTAACTACACGCTCAACACTTAGAGCACATCAGAAAATTCATACTGGAGAGAAACTTTACAAATGTATGGAATGTGACAAGTCCTTTACCCATAACTCACATCTGAGAACACATCAGAGAATTCATACTGGAGAGAGACCTTACACTTGTCAGGAATGTGACAAATCTTTTACTACATCCTCATATCTTAGAGCACATCAGAAAATTCATACTGGAGAGAAACTCTACAAATGCAAAGACTGTGACATGTCCTTTCTCCGGATTTCTAGTCTTAAAATACATCAGAAAATTCATACTGGAGAGAAACCTTACAAATGCAAAGACTGTGACAAATCCTTTAATCAGGTTTCAAATCTTAGAAGACATCAGAAACTTCATACTGGAGAGAGACCTTACAAATGTCTGCAATGTGACAAATCCTTTACCCACAAGTCAAATCTTAGAACACATCAGAGAGTTCACACTGGAGAGAGACCTTACAGTTGTAAGGAATGTGACAAATCTTTTACAAGGTGCTCCTATCTCAGAGCACATCAGAAAATTCATACTGGAGAGAAACTTCACAAATGCAAAGACTGTGACATGTCCTATATCCACCTTTCAAATCTTAGAAGACATCAGAGAGTTCACACTCGAGAGAAAAATAACATTGTAAATAATATGACATAGCATTTTTTTGGTATTCTCTGCTTATAAATTCCAACAGTATACATAATGGAAGCATAAACTTGTGAAAGCCCTTAATGAAGTTTTAAATCTTAGAAAATATCACAGAATTTATATTAAATTAAAATCTGCAATAGTAGCTATGTGACTTTTTTTGTAAATGTGTATGGGTGCTTTGTCTGCAGGTATTTCTGTGCACTAAATGTATGCCTGTTTCCTGTGGGGGCCAGAAGAGGGCATAAGAGTCTCTGAAGCTAGAATTCCAGACAGCTGTAAGCACCTATGTGTGTGTGTTGTGAATTGAGCTCCAGTCCTCCAGAAGAGCAGTCCCATTTATCCAGCCACTGGGAAAGGTGTAATAAAATCATTTCTCTTAGCCAGGTGGTGGTGCCATATGCCTTTAATCCCAGCATTGGGGAGGCAGAGGCAGGTGGATACATGTGAGTTTGGGGCCATCCTAGTCTACATAGCTAGTAACAGGACAGCCAAGGTTATTATATAATGAAATCCCATCCTCAAAAACAAACAAACAAAACCTAAGAACAGTTTATCTTGTTCAGCATTCAAGAATTCATAATAATGCCCGGCTAAGTAGTGCATGCCTTTAATCCCAGTACTTAGTTAGTCTGGGGTCATCCTGGCCCACATAGTGAGTTCCAGGACTGCCAGGAGTACATAGACCATGTCTCTAAATAAATAAATAAATAAACAAACAAATAAATAAGGACAAAATGTAGTAACATAAGACAATGTGACAAAGACCTCTGATTGTACTGTTCATCACAAAATGTATGCTTCAGAGAAAGCATAGAAAGGTATACCATACATAATCTCCATGTCTTGCTGTTCGTTGGAAATCACATGAACCAAATGCATTGAAATTGACAAATCCTTGACCTAATGCTGAAATTACCAATATAAAGGCAAATTCAATATGAGACAAAACACAAGAAAATGCTCTAATAGTCTCATCTTTTGTTTTCTTTGAAAATCTAGAGTCAAACCTTAAAATATCAAGAAGGTGAGAAACTGTAAAGAGATAAACTGTACACATGACAACACAGGCATATCATAAAGAGAATCCACAAGGGCTCTGGGCTTGGTGGATCTTTGTGAGTTCAGCCTGATCCACAGTGCAAATTCTAAGACAGCCAGAGCTATACAGAGAAACCCCATTGAGAAAAACCAAATCTTTAAAAGAAAAAAAATTCTGAGGACATGCCGAAATTCATTTTGAACTACTGAAGAAATATGTGTATTTATTTCACACTGTTAAAAAAAATTATATAGCTTCCATTAACTGTTAGTAGACCCTCATGAAGATAAAGGAGACTCATAGGACCTACCCTGAGCCATGAAGAAATGGTAATTGCCCCGATCTTACACAGTCGTCTGTTCTTAGTACTTTCTGAACCTACTTGAAGAGGAGTCTTCTTTCACCAAGGTTGAGAGTAGTACAAATTGATAATTATAAGCATGAATATTTAGATGACTCTTGAACAACATGATCTTGAACAAAACATCAATAAGTTCTACCATTGGACCTATACTCCCCAAGCCTTGGTTTGTGACCGTGGCATGAATTCCTCTCTATGGAGCAGGACTCAAAACCTAACAAGAGAGAAGTTGGTTATGCCTATAAGCAGTCATGCCAGTATTGCACAAGTGCACAAATCTTGCCCAGTAGGTCGCTATTGTAAGATGTAGGATCCAGGGGTAAGTAAGGCCATTGATATCATTTCTCTGCCAGCAGCCTATGAGAGGTGACCAGGAAGGAGAGTTCCCTGGTAAATTCAAGATTGCTCTCTATCTTGCAACCAAAGTATTTGGTGTCTTCAGCAACACCATGTATTTAGGGTGTCTAACCAAGAGCACTGGCAATGACCTATTTTGTCCGGGGTGCATCTGTGACCTTCCTGACCAAGTAAGTCCTATTTATTTATTTATTTATTTATTTATTTATTTATTTATTTATTTATTATGTTCCTGGTACAGAGAGTTCCATTTAATAGCCCCATTGTCTGGGAGCAGCATTATTTACCCATGTGGGACACATCTGCTCAAAGTTTTAAAATTATGTTTACTATTAACCTGTAAGACAATGGGATTTCATGAGGCTTCTTCATACATCCTTTTGGTTAACCCACCCATTCTTCCTCCTTTCTTCCTGTCTCATGCCCAGTTAAACATTTAGCACATGTTAACATTTTTTTTTTTTTTTTTGGTTTTTTTCGAGACAGGGTTTCTCTGTGTAGCTTTGCGCCTTTCCTGGAACTCACTTGGTAGCCCAGGCTGGCCTTGAACTCACAGAG